GAAACAGGTGAGTTTGCACGCGGGCCCTTTAAGAGCCGGTTTTGATTTCTTTGTGAACCAGCTTTTCTGGGGGTACTCCCCAATGTTTTAGTAGCAGGCAAAGTCAGATATTATGCCACTTGTCTCGATTGTGCTGGGTCCACAAAATGCCCACAGCGGGGGCGCTCCCGGGCTCAGGGCCCCACACCTCCAGGGAGGCTGCATACCTTTGGGCTGCTCCCGGGTAGCTGTGATGCTGGCGGCTTGTGAAGGCAGAGTTTTTTCTCCCCAAAAGAGTTTCTGCCTCTTCCACCTCAATCAGGATTGTCCTTTGTTGCAGGAATTCCTCTTATCCAGTTTTCAGTTCTGTCTCAGGGGTAATTTTTCCAAGAGTAGTTGTAAATTGGCTGTGTCTCCAGGAGGAGGTGAGTTCAGAGTATGCCTATGCTGCCATCTTGACTTCTCCTCTCCAAACCTGTTTTAAGTGTCAGCTTGTGGATACAAATTCTCAGGGGAGATATTTTTTTCTTCTATCCACCCAGTTTTCTTTCTTTCCTGAGATAGGGTATTCTGGTTCATTCTTTCACTTGAGTGTGTCTTATTTTGAGGTCCCAGATTTTGGAATAATATCTCACTCTTATGTTGGCCCTACACCTTGTCTCCCTCCTAAAGCTTAGCCCATTCGAAAGTCTTGAGGACAGAAGGATTGGCAGAGCCCTTGGAGGACTTGTCCTTTTTAACACTTACTTCTCTGAATTCATGCTTTTTGTTCCACCTCTCCCCACCCCCACTAAACCTTATTTATTTTAAAAATTTTCAGGGGCCGGCCCTGCAGCTTGGCAGTTAAGTGCGCGCGCTCCGCTGCTGGCGGCCCAGGTTCGGATCCCAGGCGCGCGCCGACGCATCGCTTCTCCGGCCTTGCTGAGGCCACGTCCCACATGCAGCAACTAGAAGTACGTGCAGCTATGACGTACAACTATCTACTGGGGCTTTGTGGGAAAAATAAATAAATAAAATTAAAATTTTTCAAATCTTCAAAAATGTGAAACAAACACCCATCTACCTTTCACTAAGATTCATCACTTTCCCACATTTTCACTATCTGACATACATATGTTCTACACATACACATTTTGCCTAACCATTTGAAAGTAACAGAATGACACTGCATCACCAGATATTTCAGCATGCACTTCATAAGAAAAAGGTCATTCTCCTATACAAGCACAAAACCATTACCACATATAAGAAAATTAAACATTCCATATCATGTAAGAGTTCATATATGAATTTCCACAGATGTCCCTAAAATGTCTTTAATGGTTGGGTTTATTTAGTTCAAGATCAAAGCTAAGTTCATGCATTTCATGTTGTTTGATCTAAAACAGTCTCACTACCTGTTTTACACCACAGTTACTTTAAGAAATCACACCAGGCATGTTTGTAAATGTTCTACATTTCACTTTTGTCTAATTTTTCCACATGATTAGATTCAGGTCAAATATTTTTGGCAAAAATGCTACAGGTGATAGAGTATCTTTCTTCCCTGCTAGCTCAGCAATACATTTAAAGATTTTTTTTTTTTTAATGAATCTTATCCAGCATTCCAGATGTTCTGTACCAACAGGAGGGTTCCTCAGGGCATGCAGTCTGACATATTGTCAGAAAGAGATGTCCCTATGTATTGCCTTTCCAGATCAGCAACAATAACATCTTTATAAATTAAAGAACAGTGTTGTATTTACCACCACCTGAGGCCAGATAATATGAAAAGGGGAAGCTTGAGACAAAAATCTTACATTAGGTGTTGTATCCTACCAATTCATTTTTGCATTTATTATTCCCTAAAAAACTAGAGCCTAATAGGGGTGTTTGTTGGAGTCTAGAATCTAAGGGTCAATTAAATTAGTGAAGGACAAGCTAAATACTTAAGAGTTACAGATAGACTTAAAAGCTTTGGGGTTATCAAGTCTTTTCTTCTCTCATCAGTAAAAAAGGAAAAGTTACATTTCTAACCTGCCCCTTTTCATGGCAATAGTAGGAAGAGGAAATAGGAAAAAGGAAAGTAAATGTTTGTTGAGAACTTACTATGTGACAACCCTGTGCTATAAATAAATTCATGTCCATATTAATTCCATGAGCTGGATATGACTACCCTCATTTCACAAATAATCAAAGTGGAACTCAGAGAGTTCATACAGGTAACTAGTAAACCAAAATCTATCAATTCAACCCAAAGGATTCAAACCAAAGTCTGCCCCATGACCAAAACCCATGCTTTTTCCATGATCTAGACAGATAACTTGGAAGTTCCATTCTGATGTCTTGGGTATTCATGACCATAAGTTCTGTATAACCTAAAGACAAACCGAAGTCAAATTTCTTAAAACAACAGACTACACTCAAGCATTCATCTAACCCACTGTACTCTTGCTGCTGCTCAAACTGAACAGCTCTTACCAAGGTCATCTATGGTTTCTATGTTGCTAAATTCAATGGCCACTTTATTTTTATTTCACCTCTTGCTCTAACACTTGATATCACTGATACCTCACACTCCTTGAAACTTCTTTGTCTTCCATCATAGCTCTCCTGGCTTTCCTCCATGACTAATCCATAGCTCTTTGTGGAGTGTTTTTTTTCTACTCCTTAAATTTGTTTCCTCTGCTATCCTAAGCATTCTACTCTTCTCATTCTATAAATTTCCTAGACAATATCATACTCTTACATTGTTTTAGTTACCAACTATTATGGTAGTGGCTCAACTTTGACAGTTGTTTACTGAATGCCTGCTATGTACTAGGTATATTCAGTGATGAATGAAACAGACATGATTCCTAATGGATCTTACAGATTCTCTCTGCAGCCCAGGGATTTCTCATGAGCACCAGAACCATGGAGACCTGCACCTTGATTTTCCATGGGTACCTTAAACTCAACATATCCCCAAACTGAACTCACCTACCTCATAATCTATTCATTTCTCCCCCTCTTAAAATTTCAATGGGTGCTATATAAAACCTGCCTTACGCAATCCCATGGCCTCAATTACTGGTCTATTTTACTTTCTAAATCTCTCTAAAATTTGACTATTTTCCATCTCCACTGCCAGAGAGCTAATTTAGGGCACATCTCAATTACTCACAGCCTACAACTAACCACCTCTTGACTTTCAATCTTCTCCATAACCCATTCTTCACAATTAAAATGATCTTTCAAAAAGGCAAGTCTGATTATGTCCACTCTCCAAGTCTCATCTGCCTAAAATTCTTCAGGGGCTCCTTTTTGCCCTCAGTGTAAACCTCAAAACCTTTAAGAGGACACTTTGCTTGAAAAGGACCCTACTCAGTTCTCCAGCTTAGGGTTTTACTTACTTCAACTTACACTGTATTCCAGCCAAACAGAACTTTTCAGGTCCTGGAATACATACATGTTCACTTTCATTTTCAGGCTTCTGTATATTTTATTCTCTTCACTCTCTCTTTGCCTGGTCCACCCTCCTATCTTTCACAAGTGAAAAGAGATCACTTCCCTGACCAACAAAGTCTGGGGTTAGATCCCTTCCTACACGTTCCTACTATATTCTGTGTTAATCCCTATCATAGCACTCATCATTGTCATATAGAGTCTAAACACTTGTGAGGGCAGAGACTGTATTTTATCTTGTTAACTACTCTATCTCCAGTGCCTGGCACAAAGTATAAATTTTTTTAACGCATTTAAATGATTAAGTCTCCACTTGAAGAGGAAGAAAAAAAGAAATTCATTTGAAACCTTTTTCAATGTTCTAATTTAATAGAAATAACCAAAACAATGTGGCTTTCAAACAAGGCTTCAAACTAATCTAATACAACTTCTACAACACATTCCAGAGCATTATAACAAGAAATATTTACAGGCAGCTAATGTATTAAATAACCATGAAAAGAAAACCTTGCTTTCATTACACACCAGCAAAAAACACAGGAACGAAACAATTAGAAACTGCAACCTTGTTTAAAAAAATTAAATATGATTATTTAGAGAATACAATACCACAGAAACAGCACTTTGTCTTTAAGAATCATATTGAGGGGTAGTTAACTATGTGCAAAAATAAGAGTAGTAGTAATAGTAATAATAATGATGATGATGAGGGGAGGAAACCAGTTGAAATACTGGAAGCAAGGAACTAGTAAGGCTGTGAATTTAACCCTTTCATGTGTAGGTATGTCCACAAAGAAAATTAACAGGCCTTCAGATTGCACAAGTATTTTTATAGGCTTACATACATGTTTCACTATGATTTAAAACATAGTAAATGCCTCCATTTTTCAGACCAGGAACAGACATGCATTTTGTTCTGAAGATTGAAATTTAGGCCACACTTGAACGGGAATATTGCAGTGGCACTTACAAAATCATTTCAGTGCCTTCCCACATTTAAATTGGGTGAATTTAAAAGAACAGCATTTTTAATTTTAAAGATCACTTGCTAGAAAAGGGCTAAACAATTTTGTACATTTTGTAGTTGATTATGACAAATATATCCAAATTGACTTATTTTTTAAGATAGTTTTGTTTCTCAGATACAATAAAAAATATATATAAAAGACCACAAAGGCAAACACAAGGAACTAAGATGGAAGAAATGCTATACATGCATTTTGACCAAGTAAAAGAAACAATTATAGCCAAGAGTACATGTTGAAATCTGAAATGTCTATGTAAACTGTGGCATATAAATTTTTTTTCTTAAAAAAGTACCTTCAATTTTTTTTACTCAAACACCTACTTTTAAAAAAATATGCAACTTTCCCCAATTTTTAAAATAAAATGCCACAATATATTGTCATTAGCTCCAGCATACATTTAAATTTCTTAATTTTTAAAAGATAGACTGGGTGATATGCATATAAACTTTCCTATAAAACCACCATCCAGGAGAGGATTATGACACGCTATTAGGCAACAGACTTAAAGCAGTGTTATTGCTTTATCAAGGAGGAGATACCTGTGAGAGAAAGAAAAGAAAACATCCAGGTCTGGTACATGATCAAACTGTGATACACCTTGAAAACCTTGGATTACCTTCAGCAGATTACTAATATAAATGGTATGAATTAAGAATTTGATAGTTTTAATTAGGGGAGTTGGAGTGGGTGGATTTTATAAAACTACTCGATCTAATGCTCAGTATGCAAATAAGCAGCAACAAGAAATGAGATTTTTATACTTCCTATGTTGTACGTGAGTGGATAAGAGACTTAAAAGGCAAAGGGAGAGGGGGCCACAGCATCTATTCCCATTTTGGATTCTAAGAGACTGTTTAATAATATATGGTAGGCCACAACCCAAGGGTACAGTCAAAAGACCTAAATCTATTGGCTTATTAACATTAATCACTAATAATTACATGGCAGGAGACCTGCTGAGGTAATGGATAAATCTATAATTTGCACACTATAAACCTTTTGCTTCTATTTAAAAGCATTATTTCTTTGGATTAACTAAAAATCTCAAAAACTGTTACAACAAAAAGTGAGAATTAACTGATTTTAAAATTTATTTAAAATTCCCTTACATAAGAAATAAAAGTCAGAAAGTACCTTGTTAATTCCAAAAAGAATTATTTCAACAATGGATCCAATGCCTTATCATTTCTCTGCAATAATGATTTGATGTTTGTTTCCATACAGAGCATGACCTACAATCTAACCATACTTTGGAACACGCACATGCTTCACCTTGCAAAGCAATTCCTTCACTCAGTGAATCAGCTGAGCCAAGTGCTAAAAAATGCAAACTTAGGCCAGCAGAACAGACTGAGGAACACTTTCTTCTTAAGGTTCTGATCGGAGATGGAAACTGAAGTGTGGCAAAAACTTTGCAAGCTTTTAAGGAAACATTAATATCTCCAAATCTAAAACACTGTCTTAACAAAGTACATAAACGCAAGAGAGTATCAAAACAGTATCAAAACAAACCGCCTGCAGGGACTGATAGTCATTGTTTGTCTTTTTAAAACATAAATTAATAGAAAAACATGTAAGCTATCTGAATATCAATTTAAGTTTTTATACTTTTTAACAGTTATATAGACAGCACTAAACAAATCAGCTCAGAAGTACAGTGATCATAGTGCAAGGAAAAAGCTTTAAGGAAATCTAGAGTGAACACTTTCATTTAATGATGGTTTGTTGACAGCTATTAATTTAATAGTAACTCCTCAGCAGTACGAATTATCTTCTGTTAACAGAAATGGAGCCTATTAAATGTTGACAAAGTGGCTCTTTAAGAACTAATCTTAAATTGAAAGAAAAAAAATCCAAAAACTCCACCTAACATGGAAATGTTTTTAAGGGAACACGTTATGTTTTAAGGCCCCGAATATTGAGAAATTATTTACTTAAAATTTCGCTTCTCTCCCTGTTGGTAGAACCTATATATGACTTATTATCTAAGAATCATGGAAAGGATTCATATGAAGAGCAAGTATAAAATATCAGAACTCAACGGCTTGACAAAAAGAAGTTATACTGCTACTCATCACTTTCCCAAAATGTATGGCTCTTAGATGTATCTCCTGAAAAACTGAAATCATGTTGTGGGAAAGAGGGAAATGCACATAGAAAAAAGCATTTTTAAACAATTTTCTCCCTCTTATAAGAAAACTCTTCTTAGGAACTTGAAATCTGAATAACATGATACAACAGTTTGGTATTGTTTTGAAGTCTGTTTTGAAGTGTAACTTATAGCCAAAACTGAAAGAGAAGCTAAAAGTAAGCCTGAGAATGAAGTACATCAATAGCAATAATAAAATCAATACTGTTTAAATACACCATCAGAAGGCCTGAATCATATTCATGTTTACCCCCACCACTTGTTAAAGAAAAGAAAAACAACCCAAAGGAGTTTGTACAATAATTTCTTTAGAGCGCTTTATTTGATTCAGTACGCACTAAAAAATATTTACCTCTTAAGACAATTATGTCAAATAATTTTTTCTGAGTAGTCTACTGTCTGAACTGCTTAAGCTGAATTTTTAAAAAGGCGAATGATTTGCCACAAATCTGCTGACGTCTGAAAAATATCTAATGGCAAGTCTTCTATTTTGGTCACTTCATATTCTAACATGTCCATACAAAAGTAGGACGAAAATTTTTAAACCAACAAAAGAGAAGCCTGTACACAGTCTAGAACACACATCTTGGGATCTGGGCATCACAAATGAAGAGAAGAAAAATGAAACAGAGTTAAGGTGGTTTATCTGCCTCAGGTGCTGAAATCAGGGTAGTAAAGGTGGGTTTACTCCAGTAACCATTCAAGTGGGGATTGGCTCATTTTCAGGATTTACTTACAGGTCTCTTCTAAGTCCTTTAAGCCCCCAGTCCATGCAAATGTCCCACTTGGTGGACGGATGAGTAATCTAACCCCACCGGGTTTATTTCAATATTTTGATCTTTTAATAATAAGCTGCTTCTGAAGATTTTCTGAGAAGTCTGTTCTCTATTAAAATAAGATAGAACCTCAAAATATGAACGTGAACATTAGAAATAGACAGCATATATTACAAATCCATTCTTGATAGGAACATTAGTAAGAATACACATTAGCTTAAAAAACAGGCTCAGCAAATGTTGCTGATCTGCCAGAAGTTTTAGTTCACTATTTACAAATAAGACAAAGTGAATTACAGAAAATTTTACACATTTGGTAGTTGACAGATTACTGTTTGCCAATAGTGGTCTATCAGAAAACTGATATGAAGGAAGACTGGATAAGAGCCAGTTGTCACCTTCTTAATCAAATTTAAATGTACAGAAAACCAGGTTAATTTTCAAACAAACATTCTGCCTTTCATGGGAATAACTATGATCAGATGATTTGATTGGGAAGCGCAATTCTGTGGAAGTGTTTTCTGGAAATGACTGCTATAACTACATGATCTACTACTGAAAAGTTACCATATTTATTTCAGTAGACCATTCAAGTTGATTAAATGATGATCAATGGTCATGTTTCCTAGACTCTAAGTATGAATAGAAAATAAAACTACTGTTGAGTTCTTTAAACCAATATAAAAACTAAGGCCCAATAGCATCAAAATGAGAAAAATATAACGGCATAATTCAATGCACATCTGCATTTACATCAAAGTGGAATCTGAGCAACCTTGATTTTAACTAGAAAACAAGCCAGTATGTATGCGTATGGAGGGGGAGGCATAGAAGTTATTTTAATAACTGTGCGCTCTAGTCCAAAGAGACAATTGATCACGCGACATGACCCTCTAGTATTCACTTGTACACCCAGTATCCTGCACCAATCAATACCACACAATCATCAACATCCGCCCATTCTAACATCAGAACCATCCTCTTTAGTAACAGAAATCTTCAAATCATTTCACTTTTGCTTTGACTTTTAAAGTTGCAAATAGAGTTCTCTCCCCCTTTCTTGACAAGAATGTGTTTTCTGTCCATTATTTCAATCTAATACTGTGTAAAAGCTATCAGCTTCTTCAAGGAGGTGCCCACTGTAGGCAGGATATTCCAGCAACACTTAAATAAAAGGTTTTTTTCTTTTCTTTCTTTCTTTCTTTTTTTTAAACAATTGATTTAAGTTCACGTCATTTTACTTTATATGTACTGGTCTCTCATCTGACTTTAGACGTTTTCTGCGGGGCTGTATAAATTCTTCATCAGAGTCCTCAGTTACCTCACCATCATCCTCTTCCTGCTCAAACTCAGGCAAAGGTGCGAAGGTCCTGTCTGAGTAGATCTCTGTGAGTTTATCTTCAAAGTACAATGCAACTGCTTTCCCTGCCTGAGCTACTTCTGAATCAGCCTGCAAGCAAAAGATAGGAATATTCACCTATTGGTAATGCATATTCCTTCACCAAGTTTGCATGGTCTGAAAAGCTTACCTTCAAATTAATCTCTTGTGTTTCTGCATAAACTTGAACAACTTTCATCATCTAAAAAGGATACCAGAGTCAAAAAAAAAAAGGGAAATTATAATCCTTTCTAAAGTTATGAGACTGCACAGGATTGGCGACGAAAGTCAGCCATACTAGAGGGAACATATTGCTATGACCAGATTAAGTGCTTTTTAAAATTCTATAGAACATGGAACCACTTTCTTTACAAAGCTCGGTTACTAAAGCTACTGTAAAACCTCAATAATTGTCTCAAATTCTGATTTAGTGAAGTCAATCTGAATAACAGTTCTCTCTATCAATCTATTTAAGAGAAAACTATCTGCGAAACAAATAATATAAGAAATACTGCTTTTAAAAAACTGCCAAACTTTCAACAAACCACTTAACCAGAACTCTACCTGTATGGCAATTCATTAACCATAAAATATTTATTACTAAAGCATATAAAATGGGTCTTCTTCCTGGCAAATATTAGCTATAGTTCATGAAAGCATATTTATTTGAAAATAATCTAACTGGATTAGAAAATAAGACAAAAAACTTGGGACTGTATTACAAACTTTGAGAGGTTTTATATATTCTCTGTGGTACATTACTGTGAAGGCGACTAGACTTTTCACCTAATAAAGGTATTTTTTTTTAATTTTAAAAAGTCACCTATGGGGCTGGCCCCGTGGCGTAGCCATTAAGTGCGTGCGCTCCGCCGCTGGCGGCCCGGGTTCGGATCCTGGGTGCGCACCAACGCGCCGCTTGTCAGGCCATGCTGTGGCGGCATCCCACATAAAGTGAAGGAAGATGGGCACGAATGTTAGCTCAGGGCCAGTCTTCCTCAGCAAAAAAGTGGAGGATTGGCATGGATGTTAGCTCAGGGCTGATCTTCCTCACAAAAAATAAATAAATAAATAAATAAAAATAAAACAGATTCTTAAAAAAAAGTCACCTACATGCTTCCAGAGGCAGCTATGTGTACATTTTAAATGATTCGATGTGATTTATTTTAGCACAGTCATATGGTACCCAAATTTCATCAGCAATAAAAAAGAGATTTTAGTATTAATCTTTTTAAAGATTTTGTGAAGATTTAGATTTAGAAGATTTTCTTCTAATAATCAAAACCTTCCTTAACAATAAGAGACTTGACTTTTCCCAAAGATAACAAAAATAATTTCCTTGAAGGACGTATGTTTGAAGGACGTATGTATCACATTTCTTCCCAAGGTATGGATAGCTCATCCTTACCCTCAAAAAAATACATAACCAAAGTTAATGAAAATCACATTGCTGAGATCAGAAAATCACATTGCTGAGATCACACTGCTGAGATCATATACTCTGGGCTACTATTCAACATGAGCTACCAGAGATTAGTTTATGATTTTAAGGTTCTACGTTTATATAGTCAATAATAAAAGGACACCGGTACAAACGCCTTCCCTAAATGTACCCAAAATATAGGCTGTTTATAATCATTACCCACAAAATACACCTAACTACAGACTATGTTCTATAGTTATCTCAACCCTTAACTTGTTCAGGAAGCTACATTCAATATTCTTCTTATATTTAAGCATATACTTCAAATTATACACAGTAAACTGTCTTCCTTGGAGCTGTGGATGCAATCAAATTTTACTTTTAATAGAACTGAAGCAGAAAAAAATTTTTAAATCTAATTAGATATATCTCTTGGCAGGAAAAACAAAATCCAAAAAACAAAACAACCAAACAAACAAAAACTAATAATCCAAGACACTATAGTTTGGAAGTTAACATACTTCATTAAACCTTTCACAGTTCTTGAAGATCAAACGAACATCAGCCACAAAGTCATCTGGGATTTGGTAGTGTTGGGAATGTTTTTTCTGAAGCTTCTTTTTCACGGTGGATAAATCCATTGGTTTCTTTATAATTTTATAGTAGTTTGGTATCTAAAGAAACAAATAAATAAGGATAGATAAGGATTCTCCAAAAACACCAAATTGTTTAATTTGAAAATGCACAGCATATTAATTTTAGAAAAAAATGTGTTGATTTTTGAGCCAGCTGCTTGCAAATTTGGGGTACAGTGATGTACTTGAAATCTTCTGCTCCAATTATATCATGAAAATCAAATCATATTTACAATATGTAGCAGTCTCCATGGTTAGTGAAGGCCCCAAAGTTCTATCTTTAATAAGTAGAGTTAGAAAAAAAGCAATTAACAAGGGTAGCCAACCACTAGTATTAACGACACATCTGGCTCATCAGACTTTTTAAAGAGTTTCTTTTGGAAAGAAAGAAAAAAAAAATGACTACAAAATGTATTATTATTATTAGAATACGTTATCTTTTAGAGGATATAACTTTATATCACAAAGAACTCTGGACATAGCAAACAGAGGGAGAAAGACTGTAATAACACAAGAAAAATTTTTATTAATCATTAAGTGATCATGCTGGGGGGAGTTCTGGCCCCTGCTCTTGGCCAAAAATTTGTATCCTTAGGAAATAAATGAACACAGAGAAGCAATTTATTTATTTATCTGAATCTGAAGTTTAATTTTATTTATTTTTTTGTATTTTTAATATCTTTATTTTTTATTGAGGTAACATTGGTTTACATTACATAAATTTCAGGTGTGCATGAGAAGCAATTTAAATAGTTAATGAAAAGAAAATATCTGAAAGTCATTTTCTACTGTAAATTCCCTGCATTTGAAGACAAGACAGACTTCCTAGTATCAGATGATTACTATTCTCACAGAACATCTTCCTTGTGTCTAGACCTTTGGTGCTTTAAAATTCATTTCTGAGCCTATCCAGTAAACAAGTCTATTTAATATTCTGTAACAGGCCTAGTATTCAATAAAATCTTAATTCAGCAACTGATGGTGAGCAAATAAAATGTGTGTAGCATATTCTAATCCCATTTATGAGGCACCAGGCACCCTGGTATCCCTTTTACCTTGGGACTTCAGAGACTTTAATTGCAAAATTTCCCCACAGTGTTTTCTTAATCTTGACTGTTCTTTAGAGGGCTTATGAAGGCAGAGCCAGTGTGAAAGTTTCAATTTTACACTTTTATTCAAATTAATACTTACATAGAGATTGTTTTCTCCCCAAGGTACAGAGCCTAGAATCATAGAACTGGAATCTTAAAAATAATTTAGTCCAATACTCCCACTGTACAATTAAAAAAAATAGAGGCAGAAAATTATGTAATTTCCTCAAAGTTATAAGCTGATTAATGGTAGAACTGAGAGAAGTCTTCTGACTCCTAGTTCAAGATTCCTCCCATTGTACCTGTATCCCTTATGTCCATCTTAAAAGAGGACACAGAAATTAAACTCATTAAATTTTCATCACAGCAACAAAATCTTTAAAAATACACTGCAATTTAGCAAGTGAATCTCACATCCATTTAGCTCTAACAAAATTCCTGATTAATAAGAAGTACTTATGACATTAACAGGTACTATGCACAACATTTTACACAGGTTATCGTATATAATCCTCAGAATAACCCAATAAAGAAAAAAATAGTATTAGAAAAGAAAATTAGAGCTTTAGAGAGGTTGAGGAGATTATTCAAGAAGCCTGAGTTTTAATACAAGCAGTCTAGGCCAGAGCCCATACTCTTAAGTATTATATACTAAACTCTTCACCAGGGAGGTACTAAGGTAAACAACTCACCGAAGCAGGAACTGGCTCCTGAAATTCAATACTTAGTTCATGGCAATAGAGGTAAAGCAGAAGACGTTCACACTTCTGGCCCAAGAAAAGAAAGGAAAACCCATGAAATGTTTTTTCCCCTAATAGGATATTCCTGAGAATGAGAACTTTATCACTACAAAGTATTATTACAACAAATTGAACATAAGCCTCCCACATACTGGCTATCCAACAAAATATATATACCCAAAGAAAACTGCCCTGTTTTCCATTTCATTTTGAGACTATCTTCTGTTCTACTCTAAATGAACTTATCAAAAACAGAGAGCCTTTGTTCTTATCTGATAACTAAGGTAATTTATCTATTAACTCTCAGTTATTTATACAAATGGAAAGGAGTCATAAAAGCAACATACAGCATTTTGTGCAAAAATGTATAGATTACCTGGTAATCTATAAATTACCCCTGTTGCTACTCATTATAATTCTCTGAGGCAGGCAGGACACATGTTGTTATTCCCTTTCTTGAAATGATTCCACTCGGGTTCAAAATTAAATAAAAACTGTCTGTGTCTTCTCAATCCAATTCTAGAATTTTTTTACACAATCAGAAGTAAACTAAAATGCATTTTATGTTTATAGTTTTCATTTGCTTAAACTTCTTTTAATGTAAGTTTGTACACTCTAATCACATTCCTTTTCTTCATAGATAGTGGAGGAGGGATTTTGCAAGTATAAACATCACATTAGAGCCAAACATAACTGTAATGACCACAGCACTATGTGAAAGATATTTTGTCTTTGGAGATTAGACTACAGACCAGATCAGCAGAAATCTAAGTAAAGTGAGAAGAGGATTTGGATTTCATGTTTAATATGATGGGAAGCTATTAGAGGATTTTAAGTAAGGAAGTGATATACTTGTTTACATTTTTAAAAAGAACACTATGCACAGTTCAGAAAATGGACTATAAGGGAGTAAGAGTAGAACCAGGGAGTCCAGCGAGGACATTATTACAATAGTGCAGATGAAAAACTATGAGGGCTGTCTCAGAAGGCAATGGTGAGGGGAAGTTAAGAAAATGGTATCATAGTCATTCCTGATTCTTTTATTTCTAATAGATTTCCAGCTTGAGGAACAGAGATGAATGGTGGTAACATTTAACGATGGGAAATACCAGGGGACGAGAACAGTTTTTATGTTGTTATCTACTTGTTTATTGCTTTTGATTTTTGAAGGAGAAGATTAGAAATCAAGATTTTGGTTGGGACGTGTCAAGTACAAGGAAGCTGGATGTACGAGTATGGAACTGAAGGCTAGAGATAAGATTTCAGAAGCCATCAACATACCATCAGATGATGAGATTAAAAATGAAAATTTATCAGGTTATATGTATATTACACTGGAAAAAAAAAAAGATGCACAGCCAGACAACTACAGAATCCCTAATAATAAATCAACTTATTTGACACTTACCCTTTGGTCCACGGGGCTTAACCCCTGTGCAGTTTTCCCCTTCTTACTATGCTGCAAATTATCACAATCATATTCAACTTCTGGTTTCCCAATATCTCTGCAAAATGTGCATATCCAGTCCCCACTAAAGAGGGAAACAGGCAATTAGTCCATGTAATTATAACAAAGCCTGCTCTAGCAAAGCCAGTTCCCTAGAAGTAAGGCTCCAGTTTGTTTTCTTTCCTTTCTACTTTCTGGGGGGAAGGGAGGTTCCATATTCTTGTCAAATTTCATAAAGTGAAGTTGTGTGATAAAAACTTTTGCCAGTCATTCTTCAATTGATTACCTTCTGTAAAGCATTATAAAACCGGTATCTCTGCATTCAAAAGAGGTTTCTTCATAGCACAAAGTTGATGATCAGTACTTGCAGCATCAGTACTCCAGTATTACCACCACAATGACCCCATATTCACGAATAAGAAAAGAGTACAAGATATGGAGTTCCTCAGGTATCTTGTACTGTTCTGGCATGTATTAAGCATGCCAAAAATAAAAACATTCTTTTTTTATGACCAGTCAAAAGCCTAGAATACACTAGAATACACACACACACACACACACACACACACACACCTGGCAAGTGCAAGCACATGCACATATACTTCTTATCTTTTAAATCTGCTCAGTCTACAATTTGTTTACATCAGGATTTCTATCAAATCATAAACTCCAATATGATTCATTCATATTCATTCTCCCCCATTCTTCCCCCACCATATATAAATTCTAAGTCTAGAGAATGCACTAATCTGTGTCAATAGTTTCAATTCCTTCCAAAGCATCTGCCTTTGAGAGAAAGCATTCAGTGGCAAAATTCTAACAATCCAACTGTTACTATCCAAAGAGAATAAAAATATGAAAACTCTTCATTTCAAAACCAAAATTTCAACGCTTTTCTTTTCTAAAACAGTAAAGAAAAAGAAGGCCCTTATTACGTCTCTGACAAATGACTATACCTCCTAACTTTTAGGTAAGAATTACAATTCTTTAGAAAAATATTCTGGCACTGATTATATATTACCACTTTTCTAATCCAAAATGCTGAATTTTCAAAAAAGATAGCATTCATTATTCAACTAAAATCACTGCTTTCTCAGGAATCTGAGACGAAATGTCTGTTTTTTATCTACAGGCAGAAAGAAGCTGGGTTTTCCTAAGAACACTGGTTTACTTTCACTTAAAAAGAAATTTGGGGGTAAGGGTTGCGGAAAGGGGAAAGCTAAAGAAGAAAGTATGACTACTATTTTATGGTCTCTGAAATCAACCAGAGATGAATTGCATGAACATAAAACGTTAAATAGAAGGTAAGAAAAAGAGCTCTTCTAATCCAAACTCTACCACTTGTAGATGTAGAAACTAAGCCCTGAAAATCAGTGAACTGCCCAAGCTAATTAAGTTAGTTCACTACAGAATTACGATCAGACTCCAGGTTTCATAACCCAGCCTAGCACATCTGTTCCACTCTATTAGCTAGTATCATCAGCTTGCCTTGAGTGCTCATCAATGAATGTTTTAATACTTGAAACCAGATTTGGCTGCCATGGGGTCAAACAGTCTGAAGATAATGCTCATATTTTCCCCCAATCTTTCTTTCTTTATCTTTACCCCAAATTCTTCTCTTCTAAATAAGGAACTCAGTAATTCATTCCAAAGTTAACAACTGAAAGACGTTCCAACTACACGATAAAAGAAAAAGTCTGAGAAGTCTGCACACAGTGCTTCAGGCAGGCACTCCAAAGTAACTTGCTTCCAGTGCTCAAGAGGAAGCTATTCCTAAAAAAAATCCAAGACATTGCGAGTGTTCTTACAAAGTACTTGTTTTTTATTTAAAATGCCTTTTGAGAGCTTTTAAACATTAGAAATGTAAGTTTTTGGTAAAATCAAATAGAGTTGCCTCAAACTAAATAGTATTCATAAAAAAATAATTATTGTAGACTCTATTAAGATTGATGGCAATAGATAAAAAATTCAGCTTCAAGAGGAAATTAAGTTTCTCCAACACCTCAGACCCTTGCCTCTCATAATTTAGAGTTTTTTTCTCTAGAAGGTAACAACAAAGGAATAATAGGCTCCATGTTTAATAGAAATACTGTGCATTGGGGTTAAGAAGGCCATCTGCTCTCAATAACTTTCTGTTGTCTTTTTAGCTTACCAAAATAAACAACAAAAAAATCAATTATTTCACTGGTACCTTGGAAAGCTAAGAAGTGTTGGAACATGACAAGTTAGGTGAAAGACCTTTGGACATTTTTCACAGCACAAGAGATCCCCTCCATTTTGGCAGACAGCACACCAGTCTTCATTTGGGTCATCATCTTTGCTGTTGCCATCTCCTCCAATCCTTGCTGACCTGTGCATGAGGCTTCGAATTGGGGACTTTCCATTAACAAGGCTGCTGAGCCCTGACTGTTTGCAGCTTTCATTTGTATCTGTAGGCTCAGTTTTCACGTGGTTTTCCAGGCTTGCTAATGCATCCAACTCACTCTCTAGATGCAGGTTGGTTGACAGAGGTGGCGTCAAGCTACTCTCAGGACTGCTCAACTAAAACAAAACAAGGACAAATTCTTGAAGAATCATTTAATCCTTATTATATGCAGTGTGTGTGTGTATCTAAAAGTTATGTCAACATGTATACAGATAACACCGACATAACTTAAAATTATTTTGGAAATAACATTAGTGACATAAAGGAATGAAAATAACCCCGAAATTATTTAGGCAGGTTAATTTATGATTTTAGGGAGCAGTCTCTCTAATATTGGTCCACTTGCATAATAAGGAAATTAATTAAACTATTAACACACTGACTAGGAAGTGAGCGTAGGGTTATACTTTTCCTACAGAGAGCTATGGTACACTATTTTTCACTCAAGAATCTGTTGTATAGCTTTTGAGAAGCATTCTGAAATATTCTTCTGCCTACTTATCATTCTACTAATGTAGGAAGATTGTGACAATGTAAAAGAAAACTTTTACCACCCTTTTGCCTCCAGTTTTTTGGGGGTATCTTCCAAACCAAGTCCTAGATGAAGAGGTGACAGACACTGCTCCAAACCCAAGGCTAAATTTGTTGCTTTCTAAATCTACATGTACTGTGTTGAATATACTAATACCCTGAGCTAAAATTTCTATGTGCCAACCATGTAGAAAATGAGACATAAGCCTGGGCAGGAAGAAAAAAACCAAGATCAAAATTTCTAAACAAAGAGCAAACTGGGGCCTTCCTTCATCCTATATGATAAATTTTATATAATGGTCCATCTGAGTAACTATAAAATGGTTAATAACTCATAAGCCAAAGGCAATCTTCTCATCACAAAACTCATTAAACTTCTTTCATGTCAGCAGTCATAATCCTGAGCTCACAGGTCTAGAAAAATAGCCAAGGATCTTTGTGGCCCAAGACTCAATGTGACTAGCAAAATGATTAATAAATTCAGAGCAAGATAGAACCCAATTTAGAATCATGGCAAAAATACTGACCACTTACAAACTAAAAGATAATTTGAAATGAGTCCTTAACAAAATGAAGTCTTTTCTGATTAATTACAGCTAACACTTAAGACATAAAAGTTGAGTTAGGAAAAGAGATATTTGGATTGTACCAGGCATAAAAATTCAAAAATAAATATCTACTGAACCAAGATTCAGCCTAATACATTGAGAGATGAAAGAAAGAGTGAAGTAACCTCCTTAAATCCCTGACAGACACTAGTGGGAGCTTACCATGCAGGCACTCCTCCTGCCATCCTCTGTCTTTTCTTGTTTTACAGCTCCTGAAAAGCTACATATTTCATCCTCAGTCCCAGGTTCTTGCTTGACCTTCACTTGATCAGACTTGAAACTAAGACTTGTCTTCTCAGCAGTTCTTCCTGATGACCCACAGCTAATAAAAAAACAACAAATAAAGATCATATATGTTTGACTGTATGGTGTACATAAAAACAATTATATGAAAAGTAATGTTCATTAAAGTGAAAACTATTTACACTTTATTAACTTTACAGAAGATAAGGACACTTCATAATGCAGTTAAGAGGAATGTGGTATAAACTTAGCATCAAATTCTTTAAAAGTATAGATTAAACTTTCAGAACACCCTAAAAACACATTGTATAGTGTGAGGTACCTTACACTACATAATTTAAGGAGTCTAGTAAACAATCATTTTCCCAGGCTAGTACTATAGAATGTCAGTGATCACTTCTCTCTACAAAAGTAGTTTCAATTTTTCTCTACCCACAAACATCTGAAGAAAACAACATCAATAACAGTGGTTCATGAAGCCTCCTCAAATGAAACACTATTTCAGCTTTTGAGGGCAGGGGATTGGGAGAAGGGGATGACAAGTAGCAAACAACCCAGAACATCCTTATTTGAATCACTGTAATCACAGGCTAAGGGGAGGGGTACATGACTAATCATTTCTATCTAGACAACAAAGCAAAACCACTGGCAAGAGAAGTGAATAACTGCTAAGACTGTATTGTTACTGAGAATGCATACCTTTTTCACTCAATTTGTACTTTTCTTCTAAAAGTACTGATTATTTAAAAAGTATAATTAAAAAGTCAATGAAGCATTTAATAGGACCAGTCTTCAAACTGCATACATATATACACAAATAAAAAACATTCATATATCTTAAATAAAATCTTTCCTGCATTGTACTAAGTTATTCAAACTAAAGAGTAAAATCTGTCAACATTTATTGTATTTTATCTTAACACAACATGCATTCTCTCTCCCCCTATTTCTTAGCTCTGTCCACCAAAAAGGTGTAAGAAACAATGAACAATTCAGTGGCAACAAGTGCCCCTAGTACTCAGAAGACTGTCTCCAAGCACCATTTCCCCACTAAGATGACTAGGATTTCTTAGAGAAATGGCTGATTCCATGCCCGAAGCAGGAAATGTACAAGACAAACCTGGAATATCGTTTCATAACAGGAAACAATACTGGGGTTATAACAAAAGGACTGAGGAGCCAACTTCAAAAAGCTCTGACAGGCCAAACATGGAACAATTTAAACATCAATAAAAATAACATCTATAATGGTTTAGAACATATAAAATATGTCTAAATATATAAGTTCATAAAGTTAATAATAAAACTCATTGGTCACTGATGGAGGGTGCTGGGAATCAACTCATTATTATTAAGTAAATAAAGACAAAGAATCAGTTTATTTTGCCTTTCCTATAACCAAACAGTTGATGACAGAACATTTCTCTTTACGGAATTATTCTAAACTAATAAAAAAAGGAATGATACAATAATTATCAGTTTTCAACCAGTTTAAAAAAATAATAGAGCTAGGCAATCAATGATCATCAATGGTTGCTATCACAAAAACAAACAAACAAAAACAACAAGACATTATGTGCCCTTGATGGAAGAACACACCCACCACCAATGAAGTATTCTCCCATACCTTTCCCCCAGTCAAACCTGAATCTGATCAAATCTCCTGATCTAAATACCAATGTAGAGAAAAAACAACAGGCAGTATACGTAAAATGACAAGGTGGGGAAATGGAAAAATTCTGTAGGAGAAACAATACATTGCTTTAAAAAAGACATTGATTTTGACCTCAACATATCTGTTTATGGCAATGTATAGACCTTATTTGAATCTGATATAAGAAGTTTTTTTTAAGGAAAGGCATTTATGGGAAAAATTGGGAAATCTGAAAATTAGCTAGATCTCTACTATTGTCAAAGAATTAGTTGTTAAATTTTTTTAGGTGTAATACTGGTTCTGTGGTTATAAAATTTTTAAATGCTTACCTTTAAGTGATATATACTGAAATAGTTGCAAGTGAAATGATAAGATGGCTAAAATTTGTTTCAAAATAATCCAGACCAAGGGAGAATGGGTGGGAGTACAGATGAAACAGACGCCATAACTTGATAATTGTTGAAGCTGGTTTGTTAAGTATATGGGAGTTCACTGTAATATTCTACTTTTTAAAATACATATTTGAAATTTTTCTTAATACAAAGGCAAAAAAAAGCTATTAATATAATACTCACCTGCCTCGACTACCAGTACTAGAGGTACTAGGGGGTCTCACAGGTGTGTGAGAATTGGATAAACCTGAAAAATAAGTCAAAGTGAACATCAATGCAGATAAGAACATTCAGAATTTTACCCACTAGTTACAGAATTCAAGATTATTATAATGCAATTCAGAAATTCTTGGAAATCATACCTAGTCTTAGTCTTGAAATCAGGGATAGCACATGTAACCTTTGGCAGACATCAACCAGATTCTTTCAGCTAAGCCCAGACGCCATTCTCAGAATCCTCCCCAGAGAAATGCTATTCAATCAATGAAAACCACCAGATCAAGAGAAAGCTATTTGCCATCCCACTCCAAGTCATCTGGTAAATATCCTACTTGGATTCCTATTAATTATTCTTTTTTTAGAAGTTCTGGAATAATTATATTAAACCTCAATAATTATATGACTCAAAAACTGTATTAATGATGCATCTCATGCAAAACCTACATTTAAATTTGAAGTATTCTCACTCTAGAAATAATGAGATGATCCGCTTCAGTAAGAAAGAAATAACATTTAACTTATACCAGAAAAATATATTCCCTAACCACTTCCGCCCTGTCAATCTGTTTGGAGTTGCTTTAATTATTCATTCATGGTAATAGGGTCAATAAATCAATTGGGATTTTGGAAGAGATCTGTATCTCACTGACTTATGATTAGTCACATTTTAATACTTTCCAGTAAATTTAAGTTTTTATTTTGAAATTACAATTTGAAAATTCACTTGCTTTTCTTCAACTCTTGTTTTTTAAACAATTTTTTAATTTTTCATTATTTTACAAAGTGTCTTAAACTTGGGCTGAAACCAAAGAACTCTTCAACTGATTCTCTGTATCGTAAAATACAAGACATGGGAAGTAAATATATCTACAAATCCAACAAAGAACATGAATACAACTGAAGATTGGGGGAGGTATACATTAGAGTTCTGAACAGTGTACATCACAGATATACATCAATATTACTTCCGTTAGCTGAAGACTCAACCCTATTTGAAGAAAAATAATTAGAACAACCAGGAAAAAAAATATGATGTTACTATGATGGTTAATTTTATGTGTTAATTTGGCTAGAATATAGTACCTAGCTGTTTGGCCAAACACTAGTCTAGATGTTGCTCTGAAGGTATCTTTTTTTAGATGTGATTAACATTTAAATCAGTAGATTTTGAGTAAAGCAGATCAACCTCCATAATGTGGGAGGGTCTCATCCAATCAGCTGAAGGCCTTAAGAGAAAAGACTGAGGTCCCCAGAGGAAAAAGAAATTTTGCCTCCAGACTCAAGATTATAACATCAATTCTTCCCTGGGTCCCCAGCCTGCATACCTGCCCTACAGATTTCGGACTTGCCAGCCCTAGCAATCACATGAGCCAATTCCTTAAAATCTCCCTCTACACAGACACACATACACTCCTATTAGTTCTGTTTTTCTGGAGAACCCTAACTAACACATATACTGAGAGATACTTTACGTGATAAAGAAATGAGGCAGTACCTCAGTTGACTTTACCTGATGATCCTGGAGATAGGGCAGAGGGTCCTGGGGAGGGATTCATGGTACTTGTAGGCTGTGGGGGTAGGTGACTGCCTGAGATGTATCTACTTAGTAGATTATCTAAACTACTTGAACCAGCATCTTCCAACTAAAGAGAAAGAAAAGATAAATTTGCTTTGATTAAAGCAGAGAAGTTATTAATTTCATTAGTATAATTGCTTTTATGCTCACAGTTTATTAATAAACAGATTGTCCTGTATCAAACTTGGCTTAATTATCGCTTCCTTAGGCTCCCCTGAGGACCCACACAGTATAAAGTTTATGTGATAAAGCTATAATTAATATTACTCAACAAATACCCAGCAGCTCAAGAAAAACCCCAGTAATCCACTAAATCCTTCATGTTCTACTATGAAAATAGCTGACACACTGACACTTTTGCCTTTTCTCAAAGTTGATGCAGGATCCTATTTTTCAGTATCCTTGGCCCCAGTCCCTCCCTTTATTTCAATATCCATAGTCCTGCCAGAATCATTCACCTCAATAGAAATTTAATCATGTTAGTAAGTAACTTAAAGCTTTGAAAAGTTTTTATACTCAACAGAAAGTCCTTCTCCTGAGATATAAGGTCCCTTACTATGCACAAAAACAAGGCAGTCAATAGGAGAACCAAGCCCTTTTCTCACTTACAGGCATTAAGCTAAAGCCAGAGGATCTGGCACTATGACTTGGGCTGGTTCCCAACTTGAACATCAGTTTCCTATCTTTAAAACATCCCACCTACATTGAAGACTGTGATGAGGAAATGAGAAAATATTTACGTAAGAAATAGTAAACAGATACTATTTAATTATGAAAATTACCTTAACTAAAATTTCACACTATTTCATATAAGAGATCATCAAACTATTCTTACTTAAATGATTCCTAATCTTCATGTTTGTCTACTTGTACCCACACTTCACCCTTTTAATCTCTCCTGCTAGAGGCCAGATTACTTTTTATGCAGATCTACTTCTCGTTCAAGAAAACTGAACATATACATTCACTTCTTGCTCTCCTTTCCTCTCAAAATCACACTGATTTTCATGGCTATAAACAGGGAATGATGTCAACAAGGTAGAAATTTTAGAGAAAACTATAGACATAAACCAAGCAGAACTGGAATGATAAGAAAATGACCAGAATAAAGCAGCTCACAACATATCAGAGGCAAGGGAGGACTCCCTCCAAAAGTAAATAGGTTCAACATCAATTTATGATAAAAACTCTCAACAAGGTAGGTATAGAGGGAATGTACCTCAACACAATAAAGGCCATATATTACAAGTCCACAGCTAACACCATTCTTAGTGGTAAAAAGCTGAAAGCTTTTCCTCTAAGATCAGGAACAAGACAAGGATGCCCATTCTCATCACTTTTATTTAACATAGTACTGGAAGTTGTTCCCAGAGCAATTAGGCAAGAAAAAGAAATAAAAGGCATCTCAATTGGAAAGGAAGAAGTAAGACTGTCACTATTTGCAAATGACATGATATTACATATAGAAAATCCTAAAGACACCACCAAAAAACTGTTAAAGGAATTCAGTAAACTTCAGTAAAATCAATATACAAAAATCTGTTGCATTTCTATATACTAACAAACTATCAGAAAGAGAAATTAAGAAAATCATCCCGGGCCAGGCCCTGTGGCAGAGTGGTTCAAGTCCCACACGCTCCACTTTGGTGGGCCACGTGCGCAGGTTCGGGTCCCAGGCATGGACCTACTCCACTCACCACACACGCTGTGGCTGTGTCCCACATACAAAAAAATAGAGGAAGACTGGCACAGATATTAGCTCAAGGCTAATCTTCCTCAAGCAAAAAAAACTATCAAAATTCCAATGGCATTTTTTACATTAATAGAACAAACAATCCTAAAATTTATACAGAACCACAAAAGACCCCAAATAGCCAAAGCAACTTGAGAAAAAACAACAAAGCTGGAAGCATCACACTCCCTTATTTCAAACTATATTACAAAGCTATAGTAATCAAAACAGTATGGTATTGGCATAAAAACAGACACATAGATCAAAGAAACAGAATAGAGTCCAGAAATAATCACACACATATATGGTCAATTAATTTAAGACAAAGGAGCCAAGAATATGCAATGTGGAAAGGACAGTCTCTTCAATAAATGGTTCTAGGAAAACTGGACGGCCACATGCAAAAGAATGAAACTGGACCACTCTCTTACACCATACACAAAAATTAACTCAAAACAGTTTTAAAGACTTGAATGTAAGACCTGAAACCATAAAACTCCCAGAAGAAAACAAAGGCAGTAAAGCTCCTTGACAATGGTCTTGGTGATGACTTTTTTGATCTGACTCCAAAAGAAAAAATAAATAAGTGGGACTACATCAAACTAAAAATCTTCTGCACAGCAAAGGAAACCATCAAAAAAATAAAAGGCAACCCACTGAATAGGAGAAAATATTTGCAAATCATATATCTAATAAGGGCTTAATATCCAAAAATATATGAAGAACTCATACAACTCAATAGCAAAAGAATAATCTGATTAAAAAATGGGCAGAAGATCTGAGTAGACATTTTTCCAAAGAAGACACACAGATGGCCAACAGGTACATGAAAAGGTGCTCAACATCACTAATCATCAAGGAAATGCAAATCAAAACCACAATGAGAAATCACCTCACACCTGTTAGAATGGCTATCATTAAAAAGACGAGAAATAATAAGTGTTGGCGGGCCGGCCCTGTGGCTTGGTGGTTAAGTGCGCGCGCTGCGATGCTGGCGGCCCGGGTTCGGATCCAGGGTGCGCATCGAGGCACCACTTCTCCGTTCATCCTGAGGCCGAGTCCCACATACAGCAACTAGAAGGATGTGCAGCTATGACACACAACTATCCACTGGGGCTTTGGGGGGAAAAAATAAAATAAATAAAATCTTTAAAAAAAAAAATAATAAGTGTTGGCAAGGATATGGAGAAAAGGGAACACTTATGCACTATTGGTGGGAATGTAAATTGGTGCAGCCACTATGGAAAACAGTATGGAAGTTCCTCAAAAAATTAAAAATAGAACTACCATATGACCAGCAATTCCACTTCTGGGTATGTATCCAAAGAAAACAAAAACACTAATTCAAAAAGATACACACACTCCTATGTTCACTGCAGCATTATTTACAATAGCCAAAATATAAAAACAACCTAAGTGCCCATCGATGGATGAATAAAGAAAATGTGGTGTATATAAATATATATACACACACACATATGCACACAATGGAATATTATTCAGCCATAAAAAAGAAATAAATGTTGCCATTTGCAACAACACAGACAAACCTTGAGGGCATTATGCTAAGTGAAATAAATCAGACAAAGAAAGACAAATACTGTATGATTTCACTTATATGTGGAATCTAAAAGCAAAACAAAAAACAAAAAACTAAGCTCAAAGATACAGAGAGCAGGTTTGTGGTTGCCAGAGGCAGCGGGTGTGGGGTGGGCAAAACGGGTGGAGAGGGTCAAAAAGTACAAACTTTCAGTTATAAAATCATCAGGAGGCAATGTACAGCATGATGACTACAGTCATGTGTCACTTCATGACAGGGATACATCCCGAGAAATGCATCACTTGGCCATTTCATCACTGGCTGAACATCATAGAATGTTCGCACACAAATCTAGATGGTATAGGCTACAACACACCTAGGCTATATGGTATTAATCTTATGGGACCACCATCATATATGCAGTCTGTCATTGACTAGAAACGTCATTATGCAGCATACGACCGTACAGGTAATAATACTCTATTGCATATTTGAAACTTGCTAAGAGAATAAATCCTAAAAGTCCTCATCACAAGAAAAAAAAATTTTTTTGTAACTATGTTTGGTGATGGGTGTTAACTAAACGTATTGTGGTTTCTGAAATGTATACAAATATCGAATCACTATGTTGTACACCTGAAACTAATATATGTCAATTATACCTCAAAAAAAAAAGGTAAACAGGCCTTTCTCAATAAAAGTCTTTCTCACTAAAGCCTTTAAAAAACTTCATGTTAGAGACATACAGGGCTGAAGGTGAGAGTAGGCTATGGGCTAGCTGGAGGGACAATTAAGGGATACTAGTAATTGTGCCTGTTCGGTGGTCACAGCTATTGGCCAAGGATTCACTTGTAGGCTGTAACTACAGGAGAATCCCTAACTGCAACTAAAGTCAACTGGGAGATTTGTGAAGAGGGGCAGCTCCTAATGTGGGCCACAGATAGAAGCTGGGCTACATCTTACGTAAACATAGAGGAGGAGGGGATGATTCAAAACAGACATGAAAGTCCCATGTTACCTACCTCTACTCCCACTCCTTTTATACTCTCCCACCTGCAATTTTTATCTCTGGCCAGAGGGACAACCCTAAGGCTAGAAGAGTGGACAGATTAGGAAGAGGCAAACCGAAAGTACATAGAAGGGCTTCCCTGACACCATTACATCTCTAACAGGGAAATGCTAGCTGAAGCATTCACCTCCAAGTTTCACTAGACATGAAGAGTCAAAATAAAGTTAGAGGTCTAATTGGAAAAAATATTAATTTATTTATTCATTAAACCATTGTTTCTTGAGCATCCTTGAGTAATTGCATGGAACATGTGTTATACAAATAATTTCTATGAATTAAAAGGAAAAAAAAAATCCACTGAAGAAATACAAACAACCAATGAACCTAAGAAAAGATAACCAACCATACAAATAACAGAAATGTAAATGAAATCAACATCATTTTTATCTGTCAGGGTAGTAAAGATGGAAAAGACTGATTAATTTAGCCAGTGTTGGGAACACAGTACAGAACTGGGTATTCTATAACATTTAAATTTACATGTGAATATCAGAAACACAGTTTTCCCAATACTTCCTAATATCAAGTATAATATCCAGATAAATTAACAGTTACTAAGTATGCCATATATGGAAAACTGTTCACAAAGAATTTAATAAAATAAATCATTAGAACACTAGATCTATTAATTATAATCTAATCTGGCCAGAATCTTATATTCATGTATCTATTCAAAAAATATTCAGGTTTATCATATATCCCCCCCTCAAGGTCAAAATTACTAATATGCATTATCACTATGCTGGAGACGGATGGTAGAGCAAAATAAAAATTAATTCAGGTTGAGAGAATTCTATTTAAATCAACTTCTACTCTACACTAGATGGCTGTAATAAGCAGTATTGAGACATATCAACAAATACCCAAAATTGCCTTTGTATTTATGTCTTGTTGGCATTGCATAGTTAATGCTACCTTGTCTGTTTCCTGTGTAGCCTCCCCCAGGTTTCTTTTTATCATACCATGGAAACTACAGGATAGGAGAAAAATTTAGGTGATTCTTCAAGAGATGATAGGTTTGCTTCCCTTTCCATTTCTGGTTCATATGGTTAACTACTTCTTACTGTGGTTGTACTTTTGCAGAAATCACCTCTAATTGCTTTTAAAAGTATGTGACGATAACAGCTGTTGTGATGTGGAGAAACTGAAATCCTCATGCACTGCTAGTAGAAATGTAAAATGGCACAGCCACTGTGGAAAATAGTTTGGCAGTTCCTCAAACACTTAACCATACTCACAATATGACCCTGAAATTCCACTCCTAGAAATTTACCACAGAAACCTGATAACCTATCTTCACACAAAAACTTGTACACAAACAAATGTTCACAGCAGCATTATTCCTTACAGCCAAAAAGTGGAAACTCAAATGTCTATCAACTGATGAATGGATGAATAAACGTGGTACATCCATACAATAGAATATTCAGCCATAAAAAGAAATTGAGTACTGATATACGCTACAACATGGGTGGACCTAGAAAACATTATGCTAAGTAAAAGAAGCCAGACACAAAAGGCCACATATTGTATAAGGCCATATATTGTATAATTCCATTGATACAAAATGTCCAGAATAGGCAAATCCATAGAAACAGAAAGTAAATTAGTGGTTTCCAGGGGTTGGGAGAGAGGAAAATGGAAAGTGACTGCTAATGGGTACAGAATTTCTCTTGGGGTGAGGAAAATGGTCTGGAATTAAATGGTGGTGATGGTTGCACAATATTGTGAATATATATTAAAAACCAATGAATTGTACATTTTTAAAAGTTGGATTTTTATGGTATGTGAATTATATCTCAATTTCTAAAAGTCGATGATACTTTTAATAAATCAGTAAATAAAAATAAGGTTAGACAACATGTCTGCGAGGAAGAGAAGTTCATAGAAGAAGGCATGGATTCTGCTTCTCCTACTCCACCTTAAAAAGTAAAAGATGGGAGGGGACATATTTCAGAGTTTCTTGTCTTGATCTCAAAGTTCTTCTAGGCAAGATGACAGGGAAAGTCTATTATGGGCCCATTCCCCTTTTGATGCCACACTTTTCAAAGATGGGAAGCATCTACACTTCCACCATCTAGTCTATGTGAGAAAAAACTGAACCAAGGTCAGAGTAGCCCTAGCAACTTACATTAAGTTTGATATTAGCAACCTTCCTTCTCCCTTTGAAAGTTTCTTTAAGAACTGAAACCAAGTCTTGTTTATCTTTTTATCCTCAATCCCCAAGGACTTTAGTTGACAGGAAATGCTTAACAAAACCTGAATGACTCCTTTAACACTGTACATACCTCTCTCTGGTTCCCCAAAGCTTCTCAATACTATACCTTCCCAGGTGTACAATCGCAAACTACCTCTATGCTATCTCTACGTATAATGGGGAGAGAACTGGACTTGTAATCAGGAATCTGGGCTTTGAATTCCAACTTTTCCATTTACTGGGTGACTCCGAGAAAGTCACTAACCTCTCTTCACTCTCATTCATCAAATAGGGATACTACATATCATATGAGATGATGTCAAGCATTAAACTGATATACTACCTGTGAAAGTACTTTGTAAATAAGCTTACAACTTAGAAATTTTATTTTTTATAGATATATTCCAAAATTTTCCATTCTATATACAGTCATGTGTTGCTTAACAATGGGGATAATTCTGAGAAATGCATCGTTAGATGATTTCATCGTTGTGTGATCAGAGTGTACTTACACAAACCTAGATTGTATAGCTTACTACACACCTAGGCTATATGGTACTAATCTCATGGGACCACTGTCATATATACAGTCCATCGTTCACAGGAATGTCATTATGCAGCGCATGACTGTAGTCCAGTACTCTCAGCACCAATACAAGTATCATTCGCTTAGCCAAAAAATACCTCTCCTAATATCAGGGAAGCAATCAGATTGAGAGAATTCACAATGAGTTAGTGATTTTGAAACTATTTTAAGTTACGGAAACATCCCTTAAAGCTAACTCTCATAAATCCACTAAATACATAAAAATATTAAACTGCAGCCACAGAGAGAGTCAAGGTCCTAACGTCTTAGTTTCACTGCTCTTTGCTCCCATGGTGACCCTAGACTCTGAATAACTCATACAACACATGAGGAGATGAAGGAGTATAGCCTTCAAAGCTTATATTTACATTTAAAAATAAAATGCTTTTAATTCAAATGAATTAATGAAATTCCAGAAGGCCCTGAAAGATATTTTTCTTCAGGAAAATGTTACAGGTGAAAGGGAAAAGACGCCTCAGAGACCCATCATGTTCCATTTTCTATTCCTCACTATTACTTCCTCTCTCAGTATACACCCCAACATGCCTGATATCTAGACCTTCCAACCTCTTCCTTTCTCAGTCCAACCTGTTTACACAGAGGTTAACTATCCCTTTTGGACCTAACGGAGGACTGACAAAGATTTGACCACACTTTGGTCCTGGTCTCCTCTCTGGATCCAAACTCACACCAGGAGTGCTTCATCTAACACAAGGTTTGCCTGTTGGCAGGTGGTAGAAAGATTAGCAAAACTGATGCCCTATAACTTTAAAATACTGAGGAGTGTTAGTTTTAGCACAGGTAACTTTTTAAAATTCAAATTAATTTATACTCTACTCTTTGGAAATTTCAAAAAAATGCTGCTCCTGAATTTTTAAAAAACACCCTAATTAACACAAGGTTTTTGAATCTCGCATTCAACTTAAATACAAACCTGTATGGGTGGAATATCTGGCAGCGATGGAAGGTTTTCTGGATTGGTAACTGAGGGGATTAGCTCTATTGCTGTAACAGATGGGCTGGTGGGACCTCGATTTGCATTTGCCATAGTAGCTGTAGTAGGGCTGGTTGGATTGATTGTGGTGTTGTTGTGCATCGACACAACAGGAAAGGGTCCAGCATGCCCTGGGTTTGAGTGCTGTTAGGAAAGAAGATGTTATCATTACTTGACCTGCTAGGATATCCTAATATGAACTATACCTTGACAACAATTTTTAGTTTATGAAGGATACACAAGTGTTTGATATCTGCGGCTGAGAAACAAAGAAGCAGGTCCTCTCAAAGTTATACAGGAAAAGAATAATAATTCAAACTTAGCCTTTTCATTTTTCTATTCATTTATGTGTAGTATTTGGGGAAAAAGAGGCTTGCCAATAATTTTCAAGCTGTCAGCCTGGTGACATAATCTTATTTCAGAACAAATATGTATATAAATAGATGATCTGGAAGCTCCCAAGTCTTCAAACATCAGGAAAGCCAATGTTCTGTCTATATTCCTCTTTCACTCTTTTGTCTTTTTTTAAAATAAAAATAATTGTGTAATTGATATCGTAGAAAATAACAATGAATTTACAAATGGAAACATGACATTAATTCCTGACTCTAATACTGTGTGACTGTAGGCAAATCACATAATCTAGGAAATCAGAAATGTGGATAATGATACCTCATCTGTGTCATTGTGAGGGTTCTTATGAGGATCATTTAAGATAATATAGATGAAAATCTTTGGGAAATAAATTACTATACACATACAAATAAATCATTTGAAATATTTAAAAATTAAAAATTCTAACATTCAGATTTCTGTAGGGGTCCTTAAGTCTAAGCACAATGTTCTGAGACAGTTGGTTAGTCTGATTCTGTAGCTTCTGCACTCTTCCAAAGGGTGTACTTACTCCCTGGTAATACTTGAAGGTTTTCCACGAACTAGGGGGTACACGGGTATGTGAACACTTTTAAGGAAATTAATGTCTGGATCCTCAACCTTCATATGTACTTTTTCCTAAAGGAAACCACATTTACCTAAGAATGTGCCGTGGTCTGCAGGTACTCCTTTTCTACTACTTCTTTCACAACTGCCCTTCTCCCAAAAAAACAAGCACATCTCTGACTCATTCCTAATCTTATTTTAGCACATTGCCCCAGGGTAAAAAAACCTCCTGGAGAGACAGGCAAAGGTACAATTGGAAATAAAGTTCTTGAGAAAGTAACTGGCTCCAAAAACTGGGTAACAAATCTTTAAGTGGGTTCTGATACTTGATGATCACCAAAAATAAAGACCTAAAGAAGCTGTCACCTGATAAAAAGAACTTTAAAATAGTTTTGATAGCTCACTGTGAGTTTCAGCTTATAACCTAGAAAAAGTTCAAAGAATAAGGAAAATTCTTTTAATTTCCAGATACATATTTTTGTGAACAAGTTTCCCAATCATCACATGAAAACAAAACCCAAAAAACAAACTAGTAATAATAAAGATCCATGAATTCTGACTTACTCTAACAAGTAACAAACATACATAAATGAATAGGAAGGGAAAAAAGGCTCCATCTGTCTCACAAAGAAATGTATATCTAAAGGAATTTTACTTTTTATGTTTCCTAATATTCTTAAACGATGTAAATATATTTCTGTGTTTAAACAGTTGTATAGGAATAACTGTAATGATAATTTGGTCCAAAGAAAAAGTTCTAAAGCTTAATAATAGCTTTACTGTCACTGGAAATTTAAGAATTTTTAAATTAAAATAGGGATGCCTATGTCTAATATAAATATATTTAGATAAAATTCTATAGAGGAAGTAGAAGAGAAAATCAAGTCCAAGGAGAAGAGGGAGTATAAAATTTTGACTTTCAAAAAAAACAACTTGCTATGGTATTTGGGATTCCAGTGGATTCATTTACAACAACGATATAAGTATTTTACTTTATAATGTCAATATTTACAATATACCAGAAAGTATGTCCTTCAGAACTACTTAAACTTAAACTTATAATGGAACTTTTAAATGTTAACCTTCAAATGTGAGAAAGTGCATATATTTCAAAAGTCTTTCCAGGGGTACTTCAGCCAAAAAGTTGAAGGACTACTGCTCCAGGACAGTGTTTGTCCAACGTTGGTATGCAGACTGATCTCAGTGAGTTAGCAGAAGTTTTACGTATTCCCAAGTACTCCCCTCCTGAAAATACTGATTCAGTGGGTATGGCTCAGCATCTATTTCTGACAAGGCCCCTCAGTCATTCTAATGGTCTTGAAAGCATGCTTTGAGAAACATCACACCAACAGTTATAAAATGAACTTTATTATTTTATAACTAGAAATCTATGTAAAAGTAGCCTCATTTTATAATCATACCTCCTATACAAATATAATCTACTATTCAAGCTAAGATTAGAAAAAATGTCTCTAAATACACTTATCTTTAAGAGTAGGCAAGTCTATACCCTAAAAAGAACAATAATGAGTAGAGAGAAGACTAAATAAATAAATAAATAATAAAATTACATATACCATAGCTCTATTGTTTTCAAAGTCCTTTTTATATATTAGGCTCCAAATGTTGCATTAAAAGATCAGAGGAACAATTTCAGGAAACTAAGGTTCTAATCTTGATTTTACCATTATCTCTTGTGACTGTGGGTAAATAACAAGCTCCTTTGTTTTTCACTTCCATAAAATGAATTGGTTGGACTAGATTGGGGGTTCTCAACCCACAGTATATAATGGGTTTACTGGATCAAAAAAGCTCTTAAAATTGAATACAAAATTTCATATGTATGTGTATTTTTCTGGAACAAGAAGATACATAGCATTAATCAAATTCTCAAAGGCATTAATAACCTACCCCCCAACAACTGATTAAGAAAAATGGTGTCTTTTAGTTTTAAAATTGTAGGATTCTTACAAATGTAACTCTAGGCATACTTGTCTTTGGAGGTGTGGCTGCATCATGGAATATTGAGGGCCGCTGTGCCTGGGTATCCCTGGTATTCGGGCAGCATTCTGAGCCAATCTCATCTGATGGGCTTGGAAAGCTCCACAGTTCATGTTGCTTCTTTGCATTGTTTGCACACTGATCAATCTTGGAGGCTACAAAAGGCAGAAATTGTATTTATATAATTTTTTAAATAAATTAATCTTTCAATTATAAAATGTTCTGGTAAAAATAATTCAGTCAGGATAGAGGGGCATAAAGTAAAATGTGTACATTATTCCCCTCATCTCTAGCCCAAGCCCTTTCTCTCAGTATATGTGTGTGTTTAAAGCATATCAACATTAATTTATCTAACCATGGATTAACAGTTTTGATTTGGATGGGGGAGGGGAAAGCAGGAGAGATACAGAGATGGGAATGATTTGAAGAAATGCCTAAATAACATATCAGATCGTGGACAGAAACAATCTGGTTCTCTGGTGCAAAACCACAGGTGGAAAGCAAAAAAGATCTGGTATGGAGGGATAAAAACTTGCATACCTCCATAGTACTAGTGAGTTAGTTTTATTTCCCATGGTAAGTATTTACTTACTGTCCGTCCTCACACCTCCCCCAAATCCCTGCCATACCCAGAGCAAACATTTAAACTCTGACCTTTGAGCTCTGTCCCTGCTAGTAAATGAAATGTGTAACTCATCCATATAGGACAGAGTGTAGTCTTGAGGTCTTCATAATCACTTCAAAAAGTGGTATAACACTCACCTGTTGTTGTAACATCTGAGGGGCCGCTTGTCTAGTGTGCTGCTGTGTTGTTGTCGTTGTTGTTGGTACAGGTGCAGGTGGTTGCTGCATCCTCATTTGTTGCAACTGCTGATGTTTCTGTGCATATACTTGTTGTTGCATGTGCTGGAGTCGAAGCTGTGCTAAGTTAATCTGTCCAGGGGTTTTACTAATGTGGTTTGTCCCTGGAGGAACTTGCCCAACTACAACATTAGGAGTATAACCAGGAGCTGGTTTACTCTCTATTACTAGATTACCTGAAGGATTTAAAAAATGAGAATAATTTGCATATAACCGACTAAATCATCTACTTTGTGGATTAATCACTATCTTTCCTCTTTTCTCTGACAACTATCATCAATCAGAGCTTCCAGTAGGGATGTGAGCTAGGTTTAAAGATGATGAAGATCAGAAACCTAACATAGACCAAAGCCAAACGATTGACCTTTGATTATTCAGAACAATATATTTTCTGCCCTTATTCTTTATTAACACAGGTATACAGAAAATTAAACAGCAGAAAGAAATATTTAAAAAGGCCAATCTAGTCAGTCTAAATCAATTCTCCCCTGACAAGATTCAAAGATACTCAAATTGCCAACACTAACTCTATCTTCCTTTGAATTGCCAAAATGTGCAGGGCAGACTATTACATTGCTCCAAAACTGTCTTCTGTGGAAATGCTGAATGTTTTAAACCACTATGTCCTTAGAAATGACAATTTTCTTTGCTTCTCACAGAGCCCCTCTGCTTTCTAGGAATAGAAGGCAAATTTTAGGAAGGTGTGATCTAAGGTAGAGTTGGCAAACTTTTCCTGTAATAGGCCAAATATTTTAGGCTTTGCAGGCCACATAAAATCTGTCATATATTCTTTGGTTTTTGTTTGTTTTTACAACCCTTTAACATGTAAAAACCAAACTTAGCTACCATGCCACAGAAAAAGTTTGCCAATGTCTAAGACCGCAGCCAAATTTGAATATACACAAAGATTACTTTTACAGAAGGCCATCCACCTCTGGTTTTACAACTTCCAACGGTGAAGATGCGACTATTTTCAAAGTGAGTTTACTCAATCTGTAGACAGCCCTAATTGTTGGGAAGTTTTCAGGGTTTCGTGTTGTTTAAAATTGAGCTGTTTGTCTGTCTCTCTGTAACTTCAACCTACAGTCCTTAGGTCCACACTGTGGAGTAACAAAAGCAAAGTCCATTTCTCTTCCACATGAAAAGAGCTACTCTTATCTTTCAAACATTCCTCAGGACATGACTTTCAGATATATCAGCATCCTGGAGGTCCTCCTCTAGTGAACAATTTGGTACAATTAATATACAAACTACTAAGCATCTAAGAAATTATTCTAGAGAATGAAGACCCATTTGCTAAGATTCTGATATAAAACAATATCAATTTTAAAAAATGTAGGGAAAAAGTTAGAAATGATACACATATTTAAAAACTTTATAGAGGAGACTCTCAACATTCTTAAAGACGTAATGAACATAGCTCCAGTAAGTTTCCAATGAAGAACATATTTTCCAAGAAGTTTATGTTAGAGCAAAGTTAAAAAACTTTATCTAAAATTTGCTTAGATGCTTTCTCTCTTCCTAATTCAGTGTTCCAAGTTATATTCATAAAACTAATTATTTCTCACCTATATTGACTACATTCTTTGCCCAGAAGGTGGGATCACAATGGAAACGAATTGCTCCATTAGCAGCAGGGGCAGGATCACACCGTGCTTTCAAAATATGGCGCAATTGAAAAGTAATCTTAAAGGGAAAAAATTCACATTAGTCTTAAAATTAAATATTACTTGAGAAAACATACAAGATAAAGACATAAAAGCTCATGTAGCCCCACAGTGTCAGTCTCAAATGAGACAGTATCAGTGTTTAAAAGACTATCTATATTAGCAATCAAACGCACATGCATGAATTGCTGCCATTTCTGGTGATTAACTGCATTATGATAGTAAATATCTTCAAAATAGTAAATACTGTAGGATTCCACTTATATCAAAGTCTAGAAAATGACAGAAATCAGACTAATGGTTGCCTAGGGCCAAGGGTCAAGAGGAACAATGAAGCTTCTGTGAGTGATGAAAATTTTCTATATCTTGATGTGGTGGTGGTTACATTTCACAAAATTCAAAATCTACACTTTAAACAGGTGCAGTTCACTGACTATAAATAACATCTTAGTAAAGTCAATTTCAAGAAAAATAAAGATACTGTGTGTCTCACCAGTCGTTTGCTGTACAGTAGTGCTGTGCTGCTGCCACTCGCAATCGCCCAATTTGTAAAGTTCATAACGTGCTTCACCTGCCGCGAAAGGCCTGTGATGTCGTTCTGCTGCTGCAGTAACTTCATCTGTCTTTCTTTTGTGACATTCTGAAACAGAACAAGAGGTTCATGAAGAATTCTATATGAAAAAAATCAACTTATAATTTCTATCACGAATGAACACAATACCTATATTTCTTTTTAAAAACAGGATAAGTTGACATGCTCCTCATTATTTAATGAGCCTAAGATCAAAGGAAAAGCCACTAACAAAAGTGGAACTAAAAAATAGTTCTCTAGGCTAAAAAAGACATTCCACATATAGAAATTAATGTTAGTTGATGTCTCTCTTTTCCTTCAGAAGATGAAATGTCTTTGTTAAAAATATTGTCTTTCTATTAGACTAATGCAATATACAGAGTCTATAGCATAACGAGCTGACCTTTAGAAATAATTTTATATAATCTTAAACTCTTAACTCACTACACTTCTCAGGCCTAAGAAAATTTTGTGTTACCAGTGCCACCTACTGGTGTGGCAGGAGGCTGAAGTTAACCTCTCTTCTTTTAAATACTTAAGACAAAAGCAGAAAGATGAATTCCAGAGTTCTAAGAGTAGAGTTAGGGAAACTTCAGATGACAGAATTTCATAAAGAACGAGAAAGTGAGTGAGGGTTGAAGGAAAGACCAACTTGGGGGAAATGTTGCAGAGGAGAAATAAACTGCTTTCTAGGAACTAAAACTCCCAGAAAGGATAGTCGTGTGTACTTTGACATTCAGCATGCCAACCTACTTCATTCTTAATCACTTTCTTACAAAAATGACTCAACTTGGTTTACTGGACAATTTTTATCCTAAGGAAACAAGTTGCTCATTTTATAATGATCAATAGATAAAAGTATTCAACTGACAGAAGTTTGATTTACAACTTTCCTGGAAATCATCCCTTTTATAAAGCTTAGGAAAACCTCTATTTTACAAAGTTTAGGAACATATTACACTAGAAAACACCTATTTAAATTATCAGCATGTTAGGAGCACATGGCAGATTTATCACTAGTTATTTATGTATACTTTAGCATTAAGGGGCATCTTTTAATTCAAAAGTTCTTGAAATGGTTTAAGAGCATTATTTAAGACCTATAGTTAAAATGTATTTACAATAAGTTAAAAGCTATCAAAAATAGTTGCTGCTAAGTGCTCTCCATTCACACTGCCCTTATGAAAACAAATATCTATTCGAGTTAAATGCAGCTGGCTGGCTATACAACAGGAAAAAGACCTCCAATTTGAACAACATGTGTGAGAGTACTTTTAATCTCACAATTGTGTCTCAACAGAAAGATATATTTTAAAAGACAGAAATTCAGAAATATCACTCTAGTGACATAATTTCTTTCATTTGTATGTAACTATGCATCTAATATTTCTACAATGTTCTAAGAAGGAACAGAACAGAAAAAGTCTACTACGGTAAATTTGAGGTTAATAATAATGCAAGTTAAATAATCAAATACATAGTTTAAACTGTTACTATTCAATGGTGCAGAAAACATAATCCCATATCATCTTAGCCTACTTAAGAGCACAAAATTTTGAGAACCAATCAACCGTGGTCACTAGAGATGAATCTGATTAAAACTTAATTTGGATTTCACAAACTGACTGGATTCACATCTACAAATTTACATCTACATGTTAATCTCAAAATATGCAACACAAAGACCTAATACAATAAAATTATCAGTAAGTTTAAAAGTTTATAAATTTCAAAATGAGTAGTGTTTTTAGCAAAACTATAGAATATTTTAAAAATAAAGTGAAACACAGAACTGACTCAAGCAGAATCCCAAAATACATTCGTATGTAAAAGGTAAATTGAGGCCCTATCTTAGGGGTGACGGGAAAATGTGGCAGGGCAGCTTTGTCTTCAGTTACACCACATTTTAGTAATAATTCTTTCTTTCCTAAAAGGACAACATTATCTCCTAATTTATACAGCTAAAATCAGTGTTATTAAATTGTAAAAATTTAATTGTAAATTAAATTTTTTTTAATGTAAATTGTAAAAATTAAAAAGTAACTAACTCAAAAAAAGGTCTATTTTCTAAAAGAAAATGAAAAAAAATTTTTTTAATTTACTTACATACCCCCCACCACCAAACTAAAAGAGCTTATCAATAAACATTAAAACAGCTAAAGAGCAAGAGAAGCAGTTTTGGTTTTATTTTGGCTTTGAACCATACCTCTAGCTGCTGTAAGAGAGATTTTCCTTTCTTATTAATTTCATTGATAAGGGTGAAAATGGCCACTTTAATTTCCTGTTCTACTCGTTTGTTAGTCTCATTTACTTCTTTTATCCTGAATAAGAGAAATGCATCATTAGGTTATCAACTCATCCTACGTCTCTGAATCATCAACTGTTACAGAAATTCATCCAACTGGGCACTTAACCAAGTAATTAAAATTAAACTTGTGACAAAATGCACAATTTATGTTTCAGCAGACCTGACCACTCAATTTGGTCCAAACAAGTTATGTATATAGACAAAGAATGGATTAAATATTTGGTAATTTTAAATTAAGTTCATAAAGGTCAAGTTATTACTCTACATGGCAATCTCCTTTAGTTTCTATAACATGAATGTGATATACAAATATCTGACATCAATGATTGCTGGTTATTGTCAAATCAGACACATTGGTTCTACTTAATCTTAACGCTTTGCAAGAACAATGTGCAAAACAACAATGTTGCAACCAATAATTATTATCTTTTCAAACAGTAGGAATTAAACTTAGAAATGTTTATTTTCACTTATAATTTAACCACTTCAAATGTGGGTTCTGATATACCACTTCCACAGGTTCTTCTCATAATAATTTCCTATTTTATACAGTTAAGGGCATAAAACATTTTCAATCCATTTTTAAAAATAGCTGTTAGGTGTTTCAGAAATAGGTATAAACTCCCATTGTGGCTATGAAAGTTTTGATTGCAAATATGATATAGGTGATACCTTGCTATTTACAAAATAGGAAAGGGAGAATCCAAACAATATAAATATATAAAATGCTAACAAACAACCATAAGAAGGTAGCCCTCAACTTTTATACATTCTACTTCTGTGCAAACTATAACTCACATATTTCAACCCCTAGATTGCCTTTCATTTGCCAAATTCAAATTTGAGTGACTTTAATACTACTCTGAGTCATAATAATGTAGTTTTCCCTCCTTTGTCTGTACATCAGTGCTTGTTTGGGCACTTATTTGAAAATTTTATTCAATTCTATCCTTATCTTATTAAAGTGAGTGGAAGACATTTTTTAAAAGTGCGAGTGCTGGGCCGGCCCCGTGGCTTAGCGGTTAAGTGCACACACTCCGCTACTGGCGGCCCAGGTTCGGATCCCGGGCGCGCACCGACGCACCACTTCTCCGGCCATGCTGAGGCCGTGTCCCACATACAGCAACTAGAAGGATGTGCAACTATGACATACAACTATCTACTGGGGCTTTGGGGAAAAAAAAAAAGGAGGAGGATTGGCAATAGATGTTAGCTCAGAGCTGGTCTTCCTCAGCAAAAAAAGAGGAGTATTAGCATGGATGTTAGCTCAGGGCTGATCTTCCTCACAAAAAAAAAAAAAAAAAAAGGAGAGTGCTGATTACTACTAGTGATAAGAAAGATAAGACTCGAAGTTAAAATGATTCAAAGACTGAAATCACTTAGCATGCTGAAAGCAGAGAAAAATTAGCCACAATCAGACTCTCACTGGATTTAAGCATGTCTACTATATGTTCAAATGTGAAGGGGAAAAAAATGAATGTACATTAAAAAATAAGAGATAGATCAGGGGCCGGCCCGGTGCCATAGTGGTTAAGTTCACACACTCCACTTGGGTGGCCCACGGTTTGCAGGTTCAAATCCCGGGCACGGACCGACACATGGCTCATCAAGCCATGCTGTGGTAGTGTCCCACATACAAAACAGAGGAGCATGGGCACAGATGTTAACTCAGAGTTAATCTTCCTCAGCAAAAATAGGAAGACTGGCAACAGATGTTAGCTCAGGGCCAATCTTCCTCACCAAAAAAAAAAAGAGAGAGAGAGACATAGATCATCAAAGAATGTGTCTAAAAGGGGAAGTATCATTTGAGATTTTAATACTTTTTTTAAAGCCTTCTTGAGATGAAATCATTTATTACCCCAACCCTTTCCAATCTTATAACACAGAAACCTCTTGTTCCACTTCTTTACACAGATTCAGGAACATATATACAAAGTATGTACAAAAATACAAAACATATGTACAAAAATATGGGACTGACATATGAACCAACTCACTACCCTTTCTCTGAAAGGGACATCCATCTGTAATTTATGAAAAGACAGTTATCCTCTCCAACATCACCCACAACATATCAGCAGTATAATCTGAAACATCCTGACATTTCCATAAGAACTAACTATCCATGAATTTGTGTGTGTATATATATTTACATATTATCTACAACCTCTGAAGAGCCTTTATTTTCCTTTGGTATCACTTCTTAAATTGATAGTTCTACCACCTTACTGTCTAATGTATAATGCACTGTTTTCATTCATTCATCTATTTAATATGTTTTGAGTATCTACTATGTGCCATTTAATCATCATAAATTAATGAATTTTAATTTTTTAGAAGAACCAGAAGTCCCAATATTTGTGAATCTGAAGAATAAATGCATATTAACCCTATTCATACCTCCAAGAATATACAGGTTTTAATTATGCCAGCTCCAAGTGTTTGTATTTCTACATTAAGAGTACTAATCTTGTCAATCTACTCATTTATGGAACTTACTCCCACCTGCCTTACCAATAAATTTAGTTTACTTAGAAATGAACCAAAATAGAATTTTTAAATACTGATGGTGTTATTGATAAAATACTAACAGCTAAAACTTGAGGGTTTACTATGTGTCAGAAACTGTGCTATATATTCATCTTATAATACTACTACTAAGATAAGTACTGTTTTCAATCCTTGTTTCACAGACAGGAAAATAAATTTGTCCACCACTCTTCATACTCTCTCCTCTACACTGTCCTCTAGATGGTCTTAGGTTTAAATTTTATAATTCAACTCCCCACATAGTAATTGCTTCTTCCACATTTAACTACGGCTTACAAAGACTAGAGTCTTATTAATTATAAAATAGTCAAAGATGAATCCTAAAAGAGTATTCAAAATTCTGGTCAATTAAATTTTGCTTAACTAACAAATATTATAATCCAAAGTCAAATTATACAATTTATCTCTCTAAAAAAATATGCTTAATATAAAAGAAAAACAAATTTAAACTGGACACACTGTGTTTAATAATTCTTAAAGTGAAATTATGGTTTTAAGGCAACACACTTACCTATTCTGCACCTGAGTAGCTGCAAAATGAACATAATTCTTCTTCTCAAGAAGCTTAGCCAGTAGATTCTCAATTGCACCTTTCTGGTTTTGAAACGCTTCTTCCAAAAACTGATACCTTAAAACCAAAACAAAAACTACATTTAAAACAGAAAATTTACTATTCAGATTTTGGAAATGAAGAACTGCTGCATGAGTCAATCTTGAAACCTTACTTAAATGATCAACATTCTATGCTGGCCACACATACCTCACCTCAACAGCAATTTTTAACTACCAATCCCTTCCCTTCTGACCAGACCCTGAGAAGCCATTGTAAGACAAAAAAAAAAAAACAACAATCACTCAAAAAATGTTCCAGTGCTTGTACATTCAAGTTTTGATTCAGGATTACATTTTTTAAAAATCTAAATATTGGAGTAAGTTAGATACATTTTATATCATAAAATACAACCATATTATAGAAAATACTTTCAAAAGTAGGAAAACCACTCATAGTTCCAACATAATAAAATCACAGCTACCACTATATTATACACTTCCTTAGTCTTTTTATTACACATTTTAAAATACAAGTGTAATCATAACGTATGTGCAATTTTCCATCTGACTTTTATTCTTTATCCTGTCTTTATAACAACCATTTGAAATAATTTTTCAGTTCTAGATGCTGTCCGTATATTGTCAAACTTTTCAAAAGGGTTACATCAATTACAATCACACACTACAAAAGGACACTTAGGTCAACAACAGACCACATATACGACAGTGGTCCTGAGATTAGTACCATATAGCCCAGGTGTGTAGTAAGCTATACTATCTAGGTTTGTGTAAGTACACTCTATGACATTTGCAAAATGACGAAATCGCCAAGGATGCATTTCTCAGACTATATCCCTGTCGTTACGTGACACATGACTGTAAAAATATCACCAACACCAGTTTTACTGTAACTTTGTCAAAATGAGTGGTCTATGTTATGATTTTCTAATATTACAAGAGTGAAAATTTAGACTTGATAGTAAAGCCTACAGTTCTTTGGTTACTAGGAAAGTACAAGTTTTCTTTGCTAGTTTTATTTCCTTTCTGTAAATCATTCAAGTCAATAAATATTTTTTAGCTGCTTTATGCTAGGGATACATGGGTAAAAAATTCATTGTTGTTCAAATTCTAGTAACAAACAGACACAAATATGAAATGATACTACACTATGATAAGAGCTATAATGGAAAAATACATAGTCTGCAACAAGAACATAGTGCCTAAGTGGGCCTCAATACCAAGGAAAGCTTCACAGAGAAGTCAAAATAGTATTATTCTAGGCTAAGTGCAGAGGCATACTGGGGAACTACAAATACTTCAATACAGCCAAAGAAAAACATGCAAAGGTCGAAATATGAGACAATAACTAATAAAATCCAGAACCAGACTGTGAAGAGTCAGGTACATCATGCTAATTTTTGGATTTATTTTCTCAGTAATGGGATATCTTTGAACAAGTCTAACCAAGATGTGATAATGAGATTTACGTTCTAGGAAAATCATCAGACAGAAATATAAAAAAGATCTGAAGAAGAGAGAAGGGGAAGGCCAGCTAGAACTCTTAAGACAGTAGCTCAGATGAAATATCAGGGTATAGTACTCATTGGTATAACTGAACAAACAAGGCGGAACAATGGACTTTGCCAGAGAAATTAACACCATTGGTGATTTGGGAGTTTATGGGGCTCCAGTTAAAGCAAGGTCAATGGTATGACCTAAAAACTGAAGGCCTAGCTAAGGCATAGTCAAAAAAAAGGTCACTGGAGATGAGGTACTGACAAAGTTATAATTGTCTATGTGGACACTGAAATCACTCAAGTAAAGGCAGGAATTGAGATGAAGAAGAAAACTATGAGCATCTAGATGTTTGAGTCTTCAGGGAAGGTCTCAGTTAAGGTAAATACAGGAGGAAAGGCTATGAAGTTGTTAACACAAAGAAAGTTTTGTTAAGATAGAGGAAAGTCTGCTTAGTGATGGGGTTCAAGAGATAAAGGAAAAATGGAGGGCAGTAGAAGGCAAAGTGTAGAGCAATATGGGAATCAGTGTATAGATTAGAGAGAACGGCTGGCAAGTGAGTTTTTTTTTACTTTGTGCATCAATTAAAAATTTTTTTATTGTAGTAAAACATACATAACAAAATTTACCATTTTAATGACTTTCAAGGAGAACACTTTTCAAAGTAAAAAAAATAAACCTGTTGGGCCGGCCCGGGGGGACAAGCAGTCAGGTGCGTGCGCTCCGCTTCACGGGCCCGGGGTTCGCAGGTTTGGATCCCGGGTGCACAGTGACGCACCACTTGTCAAGCCATGCTGTGGCAGCGTAGAGGAAGATGGGCACAGATGTTAGCTCAGGGCCAATCTTCCTCAGCAAAACAAAAAGAGGAGGATTGGCATCGGATGTTAGCTCAGAGCTCATCTTCCTCACCAAAAAAAAAATAAAATAAAATAAACCTGTCTATAATGTAAAGTCTAGCACATTATAACTTATATAAGATATTAAACAGTACAAAAGCATGTGGGTATTTTAATTTAAAAGGCTTTTAGAAGGTTCTACTGCTAGAGGGGTGACCCAAAGACTGTTCTTTCACTGAAGAACCACATTTATTACATATACCATAATTTCTTTATATCCAAAATAAAATTTTACTTTGTTAAATCTGTACAAGTAGGAATATGAGATTACCATGCTAATCCTTTTGACTTAATGAGCTTTACATTGTGAGGAAGATCTTCTGACACAGAGTTGATTATGTTAGCAAATAGGAAGGCATTTGATAAAAAGGTCAACTAGTAACATAATTTATAAAATTTTAATTCATAAAATTTAACCTTGTACAAACTTATTTCTCTTCTCGCTTCAAAATATATGTTTTAGAATCCTGTTTCTGGGCCGGCCCCGTGGCTTAGTGGTTAAGTGAGCGCGCTCCACTGCTGGCGACCCGGGTTCGGATCCCGGGCTCGCACCGACGCGCTGCTTCTCCGGCCATGCTGAGGCCGCGTCCCACATACAGCAACTAGAAGGATGTGCAGCTATGACACACAGCTATCTACTGGGGCTTTGGGGGGAAAAAATAAATAAATAAAATCTTTAAAAAAAAAAAAGAATCCTGTTTCTATAAATATCTTATTGCATTCACGTGAATGAGTAGCAAGCAAACACACTACGCTACACCTAGGTCAAAGTATGTGTCCTTTCCCCCCCTTTTATAGGAGTTGACATCTGAGCTGGATGTCAAAGGATGAATGAAAGCTTTCTAGGCAGACAAACTTGGGAGGAAGGTAAGCTCATTCACTGGGGGAAAAAAATCTGACTGTACAAAAGTATATAGTTCTGAAGCCATCTGACATTTTCAGGGTTAAGGAAAAGAAGGCAAAACTAGAAGAGTAGGGAGGTACCAGACACTAAAAGCCCTGTACATTTTGCTGAAGTTGAATTCAGACAATAAATAATAGTGAGCCATCAAGGGACTGATTGAAAAGTGACAATCATCTGTCTCTGTTCACTTGAACAAATTTCAATTCTGTCATTAGAAGAAAAATACTAACTGGAGCTTGAAAAACCAAGGAGCAATATGGAAGCAGTTCTGGCTATAAGCTACTTCTGATTCTCTTAGCTAAAAGAATAAACTAACATTCTATTTTCTTTTTTAATTAATCTAAATTATAGCTGAAATACTTCAGAAATGGGGAGAAAGAATAACCAATAAATGGATTAAGCATAATTGTGATTAATATGTAAATACATGAAAGCAATTTCTTAGATCTTAATCTTGCATATGAAGTAGTGATTCTTAACGTGGGCTTCCTTAGTAACTATAAGCTATTTTCAGTACTCCAAAATGTCTAGGTAAAAATCATATTTGCCCATGATTTAGTTAGGACATGCTAAGCAAGACTGTCTGTGCTTTGGGCTAGAATTGTAGAAACTCAGTATACTAAATATACCATTGGTTATCAGGTTTTGAACAGAATTAATCATCATGCTTATATACTTTATTATTGAGAAATAAATTATTTAATGCAGTTTGCTAAGAAGTTTTTGAAAATATGGTTCTTACAAGCAAAGAGTAGAAGATGAATAATAAAAGGATTGTTTTTATAAGGTTGAGAATCACTTAGCTAATAACTTCAAACTGTAACTTATAAATGCACATTTAGAATCATATTAGGTCCTGAGCTATACAGGGATACTACTCTACTTGCCAAGTAAATATAGTATTATTCTTAGTAATTGTCAATGTGTATAAAAATCAATAAGATTTCACTCTGGCACTTCCAGGGAAATATATCATCTTAGTTTGTATTCAAACTAAATATCTAGTGAAACATTTTTTGCAAGCTGATATGTACTAATTATGACTCTCTTTTTTTAATTCAGCTATTCCATTTTTAAAAATTACATAAAATTTCAAACATATATTAAAATAGAGGTTCAATTCCACTGAGCCTATCATCCACTTTCAAAGAAGTATCCATTTATAGTCAATTTTGTCACCACACCATCCACTCTATCCTTAAGCTTACTCTGAAAAAAATACCAAACTTTTTTTTTTTTTTTGTGAGGAGGACTAGCCCTGAGCTAACATCGGATGCCAATCCTCCCCTTTTTTTCTTGAGGAAGATCGGCCCTGGGCTGATATCCGCACGCCCATCTTCCTCTACTTTATATGGGATGCTGCCACAGCATGACTTAACAAGCAGTGCGTCAGTGTGTGCCCGGGATCCGAACATGTGAACCCCCGACATCTGAAGTGGAGCGCATGCACTTAACTGCTGCGCCACCAGGCCAGCTCCCCTTTTTTTCGTGTGAGGAAGATCAGCCCTGAGCTAACGTCTGAGGCCAATCTTCCTCTTTTTTCTTTTTTTTACGCTGAGGAAGGTTGGCCCTGAGCTAACATCCGTGCCCATCTTCCTCCACTTTATATGGGACACTGCCACAGCATGGCTTTCACAAGCAGTGCATCTCTGCGCGCCCAGGATCCAAACCTGCCAACCCTGGGCCACCAAAGCAGAGCGTGCGCACTTAACTGCTTGTGCCACCAGGCCAGCCGCTGCCAAACATGTTTTATCTAAGCAT